CGAGACACAGCGGAGGGCGCAGCTCAGACTCTAATGGGTATTGAAGGCTCGAACCGAACGAATCCTGGCCTGTCGTAGAAAAAGAAAAAGAGGAAACGAGCCGCGCCATCTACAGCGGACGGCGAGGACAGGCCTCTGGGCGCTGGTGGATGAAAATTCAATTAAGTTGTTTGTGCAGACAGTGCGGTGTAAAACTACCATCGTTCATCGAGCGGGATGTCGAGACACAACGGACGACATCATATACACAGCGCCCAAAGCCCTTTCTTTTGTCAAATTTTAATCATATTTCAATCTTAGTTAGCGCGTTTTGCTTACTTCTATTGATGAGCTTAATAAGATTGCATCCCATGTCTCAAACTTCGTTGAGCAATGATTCCTTAGAATAAGATGACTTGCCATACGAAATGTCATGCACTGCCAAGCAAAATAATGTAACGTATCTAGTTGCCAGATGAGGGAGGTAGTTGAATGTTGAATAAGAACGCGAGGGATTTGGTTCGAGTGAGATGCTTGGAAGAGGTAAAAGTTTAGTGGGCGTCGAAATGATGTGTTTTTTAGAGTGACCAAATGACGGTGGGGGGGGGGGGGATGAAACAATATCGTATGAAACGGCAAAGAACACGATCTCGCAAAGCGTCCTGCTCTGGGCTGCCGCCGCAAGTGACCGTGTGTTTGGTGCAGGGCTGGCGACAGGACTTGCTCCGGAGGAGGGGACAGGGTTCGTCTCGGCCCGCGTCCCGATTGCCCGCGCCTGCCTCCATTGTCCGCCAGTGACGGAGCGAGTAATGACACCGGCGCTGATGGCTGGAGCTGGCAGCCTCCAGTGACGACCCGGCCGTGGCAGCTCATCAGACGACGGCGCGGAAATGTCACCCGATCACGGTACGGTGGAAATCGTCTGTGTCTGGCCCGGTAGTTAGGCGAGATCGCAGTCCAGTCCGGTCCAGTCCGGTCCGGTCCGGTCCGGTGGATATCGTCTGGAGTCCGCGGCTCGCCTGACCCGGATAGTTAGGTGAGATCCCAGTCCAGTCTTGTCCGGTCCACCCGATCACAGTCTCATGGTGGACATCGTTTGGTGTTCGCGACGCCTTGGATGAGACGGCTTGGTTCACCGTCACTTAGTTCAAAGTACCGTATTTGTATGAGTGTATAGAGTCGAAATTCAGATAAGCACATTACGATGATACTTCGGTCTCATTGCGCATGAGCCCTGTAGAGAGACACAGCTGTTCACCAATTACCGTACAAGCCCCTTTTCAGGTGACAGTGCAACGTCCCTTATCCCTCGCGGGCCCGGGGGTGGGCGTTTTTCGTCCCCCCCCCCCCCTTGGCGAATATTTGCGATAGCTCCCGAACGCTTAGGGATAGGAAAGCGAAACTTTCAGTAACTTTTCTCCCATCAATTTTACATGTTCTGAAGCAAAAAATTTGGACCTAGCCCCTTTGATGACGTCACAAGGTCCATTTTCCTAGACCCCTGCACGGCAAACTTCGGCGTCACATACACAAACTTCAAATAGCTGCTAAAAATAGAGTTTTAGAGATAAAGACAAATCACGAGCACGGTTGTGTAGCGTTTGACCTAGAGAAAAATAGAAAAATAGTTTTGGTGACCTGAGGTCAGAGGTCAGGTCAACGACCCCGAAATGTGCTGTTAGTTTTTCGCAAATAACTTCGACAAAATGGCCCTAGAGCTACGGCAGTGGTACCTACCATCGCATTCGCCTTGTCAAGCCGCGTCGAATGATATATATATTTTGTTTGGAAAAGGTCAAGTTTTATGTTGACCTCATGTGACCTCGAATGACCTCTGGTCGACTTTGCACATGAAGGGTCGTTTATTATGGATTTGTACCCGCTTATCACGAATCTGGCATTTATTTTCCTCTAAGCCTTCATTTAGAGCTTCCGGATGGCAAAATTGTCTTATTTATTATTACTAACTTGAATCAGTGAAATAGCCTCTAGCAGGGATACTCTTCTGTGACCTTGACCTTTGAGCAGCCTTGTATCGTAAGATGAACCACAAATAGGGAACTGATAAGCCTCAATACATTTCAAAACATCTTGGAAGTTAGCACGCAAGATGTGCGAAAAAAGTGACAAGTTTGAGGTCAATTTTGAGCGTGACCTTGACCTTGACCTTTGATTGTGAGCACATTTTCGGAATTCTTAGATTCTCTTCTTTCGTTTGACACCCAATTTTGGCGGTTTGATGCAGCCTGCCGGCCTCTAGAAGGCTTAATTTGAGATCACTACACATGTGCCGGTTTTTGCCTTTGACCTTGACCTCTGACCTTGAAAATTGACCTGAGGTCAAAATTTTTAGGTGCTTTAGAATCATATCGCAAGGACCTTTCGTTTGGTATCGCTTTTGTTTCCGTAGCTCCCTTATTTATGGAGTTTGACAGGGTGGGGGGGGGGCGAAAAACGCCCCCCCCGGGCTGCGGGGGTTGGGATTACCCCCCGGGTCCTGCCGGGTTATCTTCCTTCAAAAAATATCTTTCCTCATTCCAGGCTCCAGCATGGCAAGACCACCACATTTCTTCATTTCGTGTTTGTTTACCCCACGGCCCACAGTGCAGCCGTACAACACCAATACCATGTCAGTGTCCCATCGTATTACGTCAGACTTCAGAGTCCCGAATGGAAACGAATGTGGAGAGAAAACGCGCTGCAAGTATGTATATTGCTGCTGAACAGTGTATAAAGGAAAAACTAAATAAAATTATGAAAATAAGGTTGAGATTAGCTGCAACTGAAGATGGTTTTAGTACAAAAAGACAGATAATTCGATTACGAGTGCACTCTACACTCTACAGTCTACATTAAATGTATCAAGCTGTTTGTAGGTCGATTGTTTTGGGACAATAACATTTGTGTAGAAGCATTCTAAGACAACATTTCACTCGAAGCCCTCCCCAGGGTCCTTACAACATATTATTTTTCCGGGGGGGGGGGAGCGGATATGCCGTTTGAGAACCCAAAAATAGACTTTGTTTCCGTACCCTTTCAAGCAGCTGCATTGCATGTATAATGGACAATGACAGTGGACCGCACACCTACACAATACACATTACACTCCGATATCCGCGCCAACTTAATACGGTTCATGTCAAAGCCTTCACGGTTACGGATAACGTCGATATATTTACGGGGGAGGGGCTGGGGGAACGCGTCCCCCCGTCCCCCCTCCAACACACCCATATCCCTCCCCATTCCCTCCGATCTCGCTCGGCCTGTCTGCTCTGTCAGCGGGGCAATAAACCCCACTGACGTCGGCCCGACGGCAGTCGACGGTGGCGACAACGGGCCGACATCTCAAATGGTAAACGGACCGTGGAGGGCCGACATTAGGGCGCGGTCCGGGCCGGGGCGACGGGCCGTCCCGGTCGGCGCCACGGGCCATAACCGCGGCCCGGACAGACGCCGCAATTAGCTGTCCCTTTATATGATTGTCATGGGGAGACAGTGGCGCCGGGGGTGGAACGGCCGTCAGGCGGAACGGGTCAGACTGGAGAGGGCAGTGTGGGACTTGAGAAAGTTGCGGACGGTTGGAAGCATGGCGCGCATCGGAAATTTTTTTTCGACAATGCACTTCCAAATACATAAAAAGTAAGGTGACGAAGAAGAGGAGGAAAACTCGGAGAGCGAAAGCTGCATGCGCGAACGTGCAACGTGAAACTTCAACTCATTTGTGTGGATCGTTCGGTCCCCGACAACGTGCATGCGTATTTTAGTGAAGCTGGGCCAACAGTTTTTTTAGATGTAGAAGCTGACCCCGCACTTGTGCACGAAGTGAGACCCCATTCGTCTAGCTCATACTGGAGCTGAGATACCGAGATTTAGGGGCATAATATGCCGTCCCATCCAGGGCAAATACCTACGCAATGATGCGGCGCGGCGCCGGCGACACACCTGCAGAGAGAATTAATTCAACTTACACCATGACAGACGAACCACGGGACGGGTCCGACAAACTACAACTTTTCATGATAGCCCGTCAATGTTTTGTGTGGGAAAAAAATAAATGCTTGTCTGCAACTGAGGAGCGAACATTGAGACCAATATCACGCCATCACTTGTCGGTGCGGGGGCTTGAATGAGGATGCAGTCGGTCGCGCGGTCAGATGAGGATGTATGCAATGATCCCCATGATTACTGGAAATATATGCTTATCGGTCATTCAGTCGAGCTCAAACAAGCATAGATGGCTCACTCGTGCAACATTCAAAGGCAATGCGCAGTGTGCACTGTACATTGTGCAATGCTCATCCACCGATGAGATGGCACACCGCACGAGCCATGTCTGATTGCCAGATTGCGTGCCACATGCACGTCTTACTTCAACTGATATCACTTCACACGACATTGTTTTTCTTGCAATATAGAATGCACAATGTACATGCTCGCGCCGTAACAATTCCGTTTTCTTGTTTACCTTTTCCTCTTTTATTTCTGCTTGGATATTAGGCATATTATTTTCGGTGAGCTTCATATAACTTCAAAATTTTAGGTTTTTGTGAAAAAGTGCCGTAAGAGTTTGCAGTATTCAGGTGAGCAATAGCCTTGATTTTTAGAAGAATGTACTCAAGTACCTACCATAAGAAGAAATAACCGATAAAGATCTAGTCACATCTCGATATAACGATAAACCTGAATACACATTGACGACGTCACAATTTCGATACAAAATGCGATAACACGACGCGAGAAAAAATCTACCTACAGCTTCCACGGAGCTTGATTTCAGATCAATTACGATCATTGATCCACTTTTATCTTCACGAGAGATTCTTTGGGATCAAAATCAAAGCAAACTCTTAGTCGAGAGATCAAATGAAATCACAGATCTTTACTCGTTTTCCTTCAACACCGAAATGTGACCTTTTCTTCAGGGAACACCCACTCATATAGGCATGCCAAAATAAATGACGGCTATGATTTAGAATTGATCTGTGATTCCATGCAGCAATTCGCATCACACCTTCACTCACCAGGTCCATGAGCTGCGAGAGCCGCAGGCCCAGTTTGACGGTAACCCGTTCCGTGGAGTTGGAGACCGGACGGATCAGCCGGTTGTAGTCGGACAGCAGGTCGTCGTACAGCCTCTTGGCGTCCGGGTTGGCTCGGACCGACGGCACCGAGAGGGCAGCCGCCACCATCAGCAGCCGCAGCAGCCCCCCGGGGCTGGTCACACCACCGTCACCGAACATCGCGGCGTCACCGAGCAGCGTCACCGGGCGTCACCGCGCGCCAGCTCGACCGCCGTCATCCGCCGCACCTGGCTCACTGCCGCTACCACCGCCGCCGCCGCTGCCGTCGCCGCCGACGGCGACCACGGCCCGTCGGCAACGGCGGCGACTGGCGGCGGAACTGACCTGCCATCTATCGGCGGAACTCGGAGTCAGCGCTGCCTAATGCAATTCCGTTATTAGCGTTGGCCAATTCCGCGATGGTGGGTAATGGGGTGCATTTGTTGGAGATTTCCTGTGTGCCAGCAAGCGGCCGTAATTCGTCGCCCGGAGGAGGGCGCAGAGGAGTGGCTGCCGGTCTCGTAATATCGTTGTTTTCGCGGACGACGAGCCATTGCCGAGTGCCGGGCTCTTGTCAGGCTCGATTGATCCCGCTCTGAGACAGATATGGCGACACTGTTTGTCCAGCGAGTGGCATGAATGCGATATTTACGACAGTAAACACACTTACCGTGGCACAGAAAGTGCATCAGAGGGTCGCCTCAGGCATTCAATGCCCTGATTGGGCGGTGAACGGCACTTTGACTGGGTTTGTCCAGAGTTCGGCTCGAATACACAAAGTAATTGCACATTTAAACCGGGATGAAATAGCCGACAGACGTGAATTTAAAATTCAGAGTCGGAAAAAAATGAAATCTTCCGGCGTTTGCCGCTTCAATAGGAGTGGCTTGTTTAGATGCAAATTGGATTTTCTTTCATTACCTGAGAGATGTTTTCGATGAGCGCAAATCTTCCGCAGTAGATTGTAGATATTGCATCTGATCTCGGCACATCACGTTATTTTAATAAACGTTATCTACTTTGTAATTCCGTATCAATTCGAAGTAACTCTATTTCAGTCTGATTAGAAATTTACTAGATCATCAATTATCAAATATCAAACAACCATTTACAATGAAGGATTGAAATCATCACCGTCCCAAGACACTGATGAGTACCGCGACTGTCATACCCACGTAGCAGTTTACGAAGAAGTCTTCCCGTGACGGCGACCTCACCGCAGCAGTCCATGGCCACAAGCTGGGCAGCTTATTGGCCACCAGCTGGACAGTTTATTGGCCGAGTGGCTGGACGCCGCTGCTGGCTCCGATATCGTGAACGGGGCAGTAAATAGGTAGCTGCAGTGAATAGCACCAGCCGCGTGACAGGGTCGCAGCAACTGGGCCAATTGGTCACCAGAGGTCGGCAGCCGGCGTGCTCACTGCTCTGAACGGTGGTGCGGTGAGCTATTGGTGATAACATGATTGGAATGCGTTGCGAAACACAACCAAATACCCGTGTGGCAGCAACGGCTGGTGAACATAATTTGGTACATTTTTTGCTAACTTTTCTGAAATCGACATTGTATAGCATTACGGACACGGACACACAGACACGGACACACAGACACGGACACACGGACACGGACACACAGACACAGACACACAGACACGGACACACGGACACACGGACACACGGACACGGACACACGGACACGGACACACGGACACGGACACACGGACACGGACACACGGACACGGACACACGGACACGGACACACGGACACGGACACACGGGCACGGACACATGGACACGGACTGCCGAGTTCGTTTGTTTACCATTCGCCCGGCGGCAGACTCGATTAATTTGTTTTCTCCGTCGGGTCGGGCTGCCTAGGACCTAGTTAATTGGGTGCGCGAGCCCGAGTAGCTCCACCGGCCAATTACGCGCCTCGAGTACCAAGGAGGGGCTCGTCACAGATCCTCGTCCAGGCTCGGGACGCACGCACGGCGATGTGTTTTCGCATACAGTTCCAGACGTAGGTACGATAAGCGTGATGTGCCCTGAGGCCCCGGCCCAGCATCACAAAACCCATAGAAAAATAATAAATTTCGAAAGCATTCTTACAAACCATGTTTGGAGGAATCTTGCAGTGTAGCTCCACATAATGCTTTTATATTGAAATGATCCCTTGATTTAGGTATCCAGTATCCTCTCGTCACGCAGGTTGAAATCAACAAAAAAATCATTCGATGACATAAGCTCAGACAGATGTCAAAATTCACCAAAGTAGTCCTTGACGAGCTTCCAATCGTCGCTTACCGCTACTTATAGCTCAATGCTCTGCAGAGCCGAGTTTTATGTGCCCCTGCAGGGCATTGCAATCCATGAGGCCCAGAAGAACGCATGATCGGTCCGACCTTCAGAAAGTTTATTTCGCCACCGTTCGGCTTGTGATGGAAGAAATCATAATAGGCGATGCTGGCGAGGATTTCCTCAGGTGGGCAAAATTATACAGATTTGGGAGAAATAGTGTTAGCAAATATGCAGGATTAGGATTAGCGGTAACTTCTAAAAGCATTTGTGATCGGATATAGGTAACCATCATGATCATTTGACAAATATTCGTTTATTGTATTTGCCTTGACAACACGATTTTATGCATTTATGGAGGTTGCTATCATGAGATGTTCAAGACAGAAAAAAAGATATGTAGAATGAAAGAACAGCTTCTGCTGACCGATCAAAACTCAGAGTGGTTGCTGTGCTAGACAAGATGAGATTATTCAAAGGAGTAAAAGAAGTCACAATGAAAAGAAGGCACCGAAATACCATTGGCCGTTTTCACGACGGGCTATCTGGTGAATGCACCTAACTTGACCAGAGGCCTCTTGCACCAAACTACCTAGCTAGGTAAAATCGAAAAACCTGTTTCAGAATAAGCTAATCTAGCCCGGCCGGGCCCGGGGGGTAATCCCAACCACCGCAGCCCGGGGGGGGGCGTTTTTCGCCCCCCCTGTCTAACTCCGTAAATAAGGGAGCTACGGAAACAAAAGCGATACCAAACGAAAGGTCCTTACGAGACGATTCTAATGCACCTAAAATTTTTTACCTCAGGTCAATTTTCAAGGTCAGAGGTCAAGGTCAAAGGCAAAAACCGCCACATGTGTAGTGATCTCAAAGTAAGCCTTCTAGAGGACGGCAGGCTGCATCAAACCGGCAAAATTGGCTGTCAAACGAAAGAAGAGGATCTGAGGATTCTGAAAATGTGCTCAAAGTGAAAGGTCAAGGTCAAGGTCACGCTCAAAATTGACCTCAAACTTGGCACTTTTTCGCATATCTTGCGTGCTAACTTCCAAGATGTTTTGAGATGTTTTGAGGCTTATCAGTTCCCTATTTGTGGTTCATCTTACGATACAAGGCTGCTCAAAGGTCAAGGTCACAGAAGAGTATCCCTGCTAGAGGCTATTTCACTGATTCAAGTTAGTAATAATAAGTAAGACAATTTTGCAATCCGGAAGCTCCAAATGAAGGCTTAGAGGAAAATAGATGCCAGATTCGTGATCAGCGGGTACAAATCCATCATAAACGACCTTTTATGTGTCAAGGTCAACCAGAGGTCATTCGAGGTCACATGAGGTCAACATAAAATTTGACCTTTTCCGAACAAAATATATATCATTCGACGCGGCTTGACAAGGCGAATGCGATGGTACCACTGCCGTAACTCTAGGACCATTTTTGTCGAAGTTATTCGCGAAAAACTAAAACCACATTTCGGGGTCGTTGACCTGACCTCTGACCTCAGGTCACCAAAACTATTTTTTTATTTTTCTCTAGGTCAAACGCTACACAACCGTGCTCGTAATTTGTCTTTATCTCTAAAACTCTATTTTTAGCAGCTATTTGAAGTTTGCGTCTGTGACGCCGAAGTTTGCCGTGCAGGGGTCTAGAAAAATGGACCTTGTGACGTCATCAAGGGGGCTAGGTCCAAATTTTTTACTTCAGAAGATGTCAAATTGATGGGAGAAAAGGTACTGAAAGTTTCGCCTTCCTATCCCTAAGCGTTCGGGAGCTATCGCAAATATTCGCCAGGGGGGGGCGAAAAACGCCCCCCCCCCCCGGGCCCGCGAGGGCTAGCGATGGTTAATTTGTTTGCAATAGCCCAATACATAATCCTACATGTGTTTGCTAAATTTTGCACGCAAATTGTTACATTTGAGACTTGGACTGGGTATACAATGCAAAATTATCCAAGCATTGGTGCAAGAGGATTTTGGTGCAAGAGGCCTCAGGTCTGTTCAGATCTGTTCCTTAACTCTATTACGGCAAATATATTTGAATAATGAGCTCACTTCATTGTTCTAGTCGATGATAATGTCTAAAAGTATGGCAAAGAAGGCATGTAAGCAATTAGCGCAACCCTAGCTTATTGCTACGAAGAAACACACTGAACCTAATTTGACCAAATCTGCACCAAATCTGACCAAATGTGTACCAGATGGCCGTCGTGAAAACGGCTATTATTCAGCTACGCTGATATTGTGAACGAAGCTGAATAATCTCGAGGATACGTGCTACTCAACCGAATCAGAGGTAACGTTAACACATACAGAGCCATCAAGTGAGAATCGGCCACTGCTGCTGTTCTTGTGTTGGCAGATGGCTGCTTAAAAGTCTCTGAAACGCCAATCAGCTGCCTCATCAACCTGTCAGCCATTAGGAGACGTCAGTGCCGAAATACCGTCATCGGCAGTCGGCGCCGACCACCTCGGGCTGCCGGGCCGCGCCGCAGATAAATGCCGCGCTCCGTGTCGATACACGCCGCCGCCGCCGCCGCCGCCGCGTATCGAGCACGGCCGTCGCTGCCGACAGCTGGCGCTGCGTCGGTGGCGGCGCGTCGGCGGCGTTGGTGGCGCGCGCGGCCGCCAGTCGGCTGCAGCGCTGGTCCGGGGCGCCGGCCGTGCCGGAGATGGGTGTTCCCCGCCGTGGGCTGGACGCAGCGGACGGTCACAGTGTCGCCGAGTGTCCGTCCGAGCCCGGCTGAGACGCGCCGGTCGCCAGTGTGTCCGTGTCCGTGTCCGTGTCCGTGTCCGTGTCCGTGTCCGGTGTCCGCAGGAGGTGACCCTGCGGACCTTCTCCTCCCGGTGCTAGCCGCCGCAGACTAGTGCGCGATGTGTGTCGATCGGAGGTATCTGACCGCCCTGGTGGCAGTCACACTATGGCTGGTGGCCACCGCCAACCCGGACGCCAAGAGGTTATACGATGACCTGCTCAGCAGGTACAACCGGCTGATTCGGCCGGTGGGAAACAACTCGGATACCATCACCGTCAAGATGGGCCTGCGGCTCTCGCAACTGATTGACGTGGTGAGTGGCGTGGGTCGTGGGGCTGGGAAGGTGACCCCGGCTGCCACGGTCAGCCGACTCGCAGCGGAGGTGGCTCGTTGGCCCGCTGATGGGCTCAATTGACAGCAACCACCCGAAGGCCGCAGGGAAATCATCAGCGCCAATGGCACAGAATTGGACTCGGCTTTCGCGAGCCACTACTCAGGACATTCTAAGTCTTGCCTAGTGCCTTATCATTTCATTACTCTTCAGGACTGCTGTTTTGTTTCTGTCAGAGGTGAAGATCAAAATGTTAGTAATGCAGATAGCAAGCATTGAGCGCACACCTCTATATTGAATATTGATATGCTAGGTTTGTATGCTTGTGTCTTCTCACCGACTAGAAGAATTTCTCTTACAAACCTAGCATCCGTATACATGGCTCGAATCTATGCCACCAGCCACCGGGAAATAATGAAACAAGAATTCGCGTCGCGAGATCTTCCACATCTACGATGGTCGATGATCCTATAATAACAAAGTCCCGCCCAATGTGGCATAAATAATTTAGAAATTTCATTTCGCTCAAATTACAAACTCTTGCCTTTAGTCTGGCATGACTCTACATAGACCCTTGCTTGTGTCTTTGGCTAAGTGGACGATTGCCGCCTGCACTTTTGACAGCAACCGCTCCAAACTCCTCTGTCCATGCGACAATGCGAGTCCAATTTGTACCAAGGAGTGATGAATGTCGCTGTTGATTACAATTTCGCTAAAAATTATTTCTGAGAGAACGTCAGGCTTACGCTACAAAGTGATTCATTGGACGTTATTACTGAGATACATCTTCCCCTTGCTCTGATTAGCGCAAGACATGAGTTATTTATTTACAAAGTTACACACATTGCCTGCACTTACAACTTTGTAGATGAGGTAGACTAATTTTATATTTGTTAAGGTAGTAGCAACTAAATGATGACGTTTGGATGCCGCCTGTCGGGCTGCCTCCGTATCCACAAATTTACAAAACATGAGAAGATTACTCTGACACTTGTCCATAGTGCTGTTGGTAGAGCTGATGGCAAGAGGAAGCCATATCACTTCACAAATTATGTTAAAAAAAGACGTGCGTTTCTCTCCACTATCTCATTTCGTACGGATTGTGCACAATGAAAGAGGGAACGACGATGCCAGGTCATTTGCATGCTAAGAACGTTTTATCTACGTCCCTTGATATGCGGGCCTCAGTCTTTTCTCAGCGCTCTGCCCCATCTAGGTAAATCCATCCAGTTAGTCATTCTGCACATAGGCGCGGGAGCCGGGGGGGCAGTGGGGGCAGCTTGCCCCCCCAACTCTGGGGCCGTGGGGGCGGTGCCCCCACATCTTTGAGACGGAATACCACACTTTTTTTGCAAATGTTTTCTTTTTTTGTTGAAAAAGCCGAGGGGTGAAAAATAAGTGGCCTAAAACCGGTGAGAAAACTAGATTTGGGGGTACCCTAGGTTGATCTCTATTATGGTGTGCCCCCCCAGTCGGAAAGTAGTTCCCGCGCCCCTGATTCTGCATACCTACGTTGAATGAGAATAGCTAATGGAAATAGTGCGTCCAACTTCGGATGAATATAACGCTAATGCAATAAATCAGCGCTCAAACACTGATTTCAATGCATAAACTTAGCTGATATGGAAAAGTAGTATTCTAATACGTGCAATAATTCACGCTACCATGATTTGCTACAATCATTCCAAATAACAATTATAAATATTGTTATTATTTGGAACAATAATAGGCTCCCATGCGGTGCTTTGTCTTATCAACTCGGGCGTTCATTCACGCTCCATCGTGTGTATATTACACCTCACACCGTTCCATCTCTGACACCAGTTCAGCGGTGGGCCAGTAGAGGTGCCGGCTGTGAGGGTGTGGCGGTGACGGACGGTTCGCCGGCGGCTGCGTCCGGCAGCCCGACGGATGACCGGCCGCTGATGAGGACAGCTCGGCCGGACACAGATGGAGAGCAAGGCCGGACGGCGGGGTACCGAGCCGGCGCTCCCACCGTAAACGAGCCATCGACCGGTCTCGTGTTCGACCGACGCGGCGATGAAGAGCAGCCGCCGACGGCCGACGCAGCCGACGGGTCACGAGAGCACGGGTCAACGGTTTACTGAGGAGTGAGAGTTACAGGTCACCAGCTCCAGTACTGAGGGACACAGGTCACTTACTACTGCGCTGTGTGGTTCATTGACTACATGTGAAGTTACACGGGTCACTGATGACATTGGAGCTGATGCACGGGCCACTCGCAGCACGCATGAGAACTGAGTTTCGGGTCACTGATAGCATTGGAACTGATCGACTTATCACTGACATCATAAAAAACTCACCGACCACGGCTTAGTTCGGAACTGGAAGTCCCGAGTCAGAGATGTCAAAACTGAGAGACCAACATGCACTTAGCGTAGGGAGACCCGGAGGACTGACTCAAGCACTGAAAGACAAAAGACAAGACTGATTCACTGGGGCAGAGGGCTATGAGGCACTACCCTAAACCTAAAAGGTACCTATACCCGTACCGTCTCTCTTAGAAGGTGACCGAAGCCATTTCAGCTGCCAGACACCAGTCATCCAGAATAAAGAGAAGCTAGGATATTCTTTAAGTTTCTAAACTTAAAAAATATCCTATGCTTCTCTTAAAAAGAAACTTCTTCTTAAAAAAGAAGCTAGGATAGTTACGTGCAAACGCTGGTTTGATTGTATTTTTTTCGCCTATTTGAATGAACGGCTTCTTCAGCCTTTTGGACTTTGCACAGAGTGGTGCTTTTCAATCTGCTGTTATTGACATACCAGTGTACAAAAAGCATTCGCAAGGACGATGGAGCCATTTTCTAGCCCACTTGCCAAGGATCCAATATGTCACCATCCATTAAATTTTCAAAATGAGAGATGACAGGAGCTTGTTGGCTCCATTGCCCCCACGGTCCTCGGACAAAGGGGGGTCTGTGTGGAAGCGGACAGCGCGGAGAAAACTACTGGACAGCCGGCTGCGATATAGATCCATGCAGGGCGATTGGCGAGCTATGGACAGCTGAACCGTTGACAACGCCATGGAAAGAGCATAAAAAGCCAATGTCATACTATTGTAGCGCAGCTTGCTCGTCGTGTATAGCGTTCAGTATGGATGGACGAATCTGACTTGTGGCAGCTTTGTCCTCGCCTGGCTCTAACCATGGATGTGGTACTTCAGCAACATGAAGTGATTGCTGCCAGTGCCAGCCAGCCAGTGTTTGGACGGTGTCCGATTTTGAAATGCACTGTTGGCCCTCGAATTTTCTGTTTTCAATTCGACATTACTCGATCAGACAATACAAGTTTTTGGAATTTTCCCGAACAAGCTCTGCTTAGCGTAAGCGGTGCCCTCCCAATTCAAGCTGAATTTATAAAGGCGTTGAATGTTGATATGCAATAACAGTGTTTCTGTGCATCAAAACAATGCTGCCTAATGAGCAAATAGTTTGGGTATCTTCAGTCTCAGTAGTTTGGGTATCTCAGCACGAACAAGAACATTTAGGGATTCTGCATAACGATAACATATCTATGACCTTTGATAATGAGGCCATTTGCTGTCAGCATGGTCTTATCTGCGGGAATAAATGTGCCAATAAACCAGTCTAGTTTCCTCAGCTAGACAGAGCGCCTCTGCCAAATCTTGAAAGGCGACTTTTCAAAGAAATCGCCTGCTCTCGACCAACTGGCGTTGTTTAAACCCTTGGGTCAAGTGACCTATGAGTTGTCTGGTTTGTATTCCATGGTCGCTACCCGGACTGACTCTGTAGTCTGCATGTCCTGTTGAAATAACTAGCCTATATTGTCGGTCCCATCTGGCCAACTCGAACAATGACATCAATAGAAGCGCGATCAATGGCAACACGGAGAGAGCACGTCCGCGTTTATTTTCATTAGGCTGTGGTGCCTAGGAATTTCGTTGTTTTAGCCAGCTGGACTGCTGATGTGCTCGGAGTGGCTCCGCGACTAAGGAGCTGAAAACGATCACAGCAGTGGCTGGATGAAGCTCAGCGGGCGGCGGAAAAATAACCGTGCTGGGACATCGATCCCCAAACAGCGGGTCCTCGGAAACCCGGGCTTAGCCGGCGAGGATAATATGGGAGAGGATTCTCCCGGCGGTCTCACACCATTGAGCGCGGTCAGCTCAAACAGGGGAAGCTACGGTCGATATCGCTGCTTGGCGCCTTGTCAAATTGATCTCATAAAACAGCAGCCACTGTTGCTAGTCTTGGTCACCCGAAACTTTTAATGGCTCGGTTCACTTCATATCGATGCATCAAGTTATTATTGTATTTCAAACGGACACAAACCATTGGCCATTGCTTGGTAACTATAAATATGGAGCAGGGCAACAGACATGACTTCGTTCCCCACACAAAATCGGTTCACGAACAGATGTGTTATTGTTGAAACCATTGTCAAACTCGTTCAACCTTGAATCTAGCCGTGATTCTTGCGACAGCCAAGAACCTTATAGAAGTACTGCAAGCAAGTTTCTTTTTGGAATGATACGGCAAGGCTTTATTAACCATTGTGCATGTACTTTTAACCCTCGCCGGACCTATTGGTTTTCTACATACGCGCCGGCCGAGGGGGGGGGGGGCGGGTACGACCCCCCCTCGCCGTTTCGCCCCTGGTGGAGCTAGCGCGTCGCGGAAAAAACGAGCGTGTGCGCCGTTACGAGACGCAGAGATTGGTACCCGATTTTAAGGTCCTAGGTCAACCGGTGACCTCTGAGGTCAGGTCAAGTGCCCCAGGGTACGGTTCAGTTTTTGGTGAATAACTTCGCAACAAATGGCCGCAGAGCCGCGATTTTGGCAGCATCGTGTTCGACTCGCCCAGGCGCGTCGAATGATATACTTTTTGTCCGGGTCAGGTCAACTTAGGGTGTTGACCTCAGGTCAAGGTCAGGTCAGCACCCCCAGGTCACGAAGTTGGTCGAAAGAGGTCATGTCGCATATCATTCGATTCGGCAGGTC